TGTCTTACATTCAGTTTACCAATACTTATTTTAGGAATTTTTGCACCTATATCAGGGATATTGGTTTGTCTAATTGTTACTGAGATTTGGATGAAGACACTGAGGACAGTTTGGATCTTCCATTTAAAGCCAGTGCAGTTTCCATCAGGCTCTGTTCTCCCCTTTGCCATCACTTCTTAATTACCAAGATCTTTAATTGCAAAGTGTTTTTTTAGAGTCAGTAATATGTTTATTTACATGATTTTTTTTTTTTTTGGATGAATGCCCTCCCTATGCTCTCCTACAGCTTGTGTTGTGTTTGTATTTCTCATCATTGTTATCATCATATCCCTAGTGCCTAGAAGAATAACTAATTTGAAGTTCTGGCAATATTCTTCACAACCTAGGAATCCTCTTGATACCAAGTTTTTCTTGTTTATTTTCTTTCTTTTTTGGTGTTTTCAAGTTTTTTTTTTTAAATTCTAGTTAACATATAGTATAATATTAGTTTCAAGAGAATTTAGTGGTTCATCATTTACATATAACACTCATCACAACACATCACAGCAAGTGCCCTCCTTAATTCCCCATCACCCATTTAGCCCATCCCCCACCCACCTCCTTCCACTCCAGCAACCCTCAGTTGATGCCAAGTTTTTCTAAAGTTGAAATCATCAGCATCAGACTTACTGAGTTTCTCAGATAAGAAATAGAGGCATGAGCAACTATTAGATAGTAACTATTATCATTGTGTTTATATACAAATATTTGTGGAGTCAGTAGTGTAAATTAGACTGATGGGAGAGAAAGAGATGACAAAATATGCCCAAACTGGGAAGCTGGGATGTGGACCCAGGCAGTCTGCTGCCTGGACTCTCTACCATGTATCACATGGCCCCTTGCCTCAGTCAGATTTTTTTGAGATTCTGTGGATTAAGATGGATAGGCAGTCTGAAATCAATCAGAAATACTCCTCATTTAAGTGAGTTTTTCTAAAGGCTTGATTAGCTCTTTATTAAGGAATAGCCATTATTAAATAAAATCTGTACAGAAACTGGATTGTCAAGTAATATAATTTTTTTTCTAACTTGCAATATCCTTTGCCATAAGAATGAGCCTGATCAGCAAAGTTCTCTAATACTATTTATACAAAATCTGTGGTTCAACTGTACAAAACATTTGATATTGTTAATGTGACTTAAAAGGGAATAGAATCTCCTATAGTAGGAATTGTCCTAATCGTGGATCCTGATTATCAATCACAATTGTTGAAAACTTTATTGATATTCTATGTCCAGCTATATAACCTGGATCCAAAGAGAAAAAAATCAAACGTTAAGAAGTACAGTGTTTGGGGCACCTGGGTGTTTTAGTCGATTAAGCGTCTACCTTTCGCTCAGGTCATGATCTCAGGATCCTAGATGGAGCCCCCTTGCCCTACTCGTGTGCATGTGCTCTCTCCCTCTTTCTCAAGTAAGTCAAATCTTTAAAAAAAAAAAACCAGTCCTCACAAATACTGCAGTTGAGCTAAGATCATAGGCGTGTTTCAAAACACATGTTCAAAAAAGGGGGATTACTTAAAATGGAACAAATAACTTGCATCTAAATAGGGTTTCATAAAGTAGAATTCAGAAATTACCTACATCAGAACTGTCACATCTGTAGTCTAACCTGCCCCAGCAGTGTAATTCTGGCTGCACAGTGAAAACACCTGAGATTCTGAATTAGAGTAGGTTCTGGGTATCAATCAGGGTTTAAGCCAAAGCAAAATGGATCAGGAAAACCTCCAATAAGAGTTTTAAATGATTTAGTGTTAAGAATCATTATCCTGGCATATATATTGCTGGGTGGCAGAGACCCTATTTTTTCTTTGTATCATCAGCCCTGTACAGAAGCTCATTTACAATGAATTCAGTCTCACTGCTTTGAGGTTCAGGTTCTCAATTGCTCCTTTGGACTTGTCCTGCCTATCTCATCCCTGCCCCTAGGACCCTCCGATGTTCCCTACCTTGGGGGATTGCACAACTCCCCACAATTAAACTTCGGAACCCTGGGAGTCATTCTAAATTTTGTCCAACAGTGAATCATCAACAGGTGAATCATGAAGTTCTCTCCCTTTTCCCTTCTAAATATTGCTAAAATCGGGCCACTTTTATCCATCAAGCCTGCTGTGCCAATCAACAAATTTCCCATCCTGACAATAGTCTCACCTGGTCTCCTGTCTATAGATGTTCTTCTACCACTAACCCACATTTCATCCGGAGTGGGCTTCCTGAAATGCAGATCTGATCATACTGGTCTCTGCTTAAAAGTTGGCAGCAGCTTCCAAATGCCTAACAGCCTCCAGCTCCCAGCCCGCCGCCACGTGTTCTAGAGAGGACTCCAATCTCTGGCCCTCTGTCTCTGCAGACTCATCACCTACACCGCAAGCCAGCCTGAGCATCAATACTCAGCACCTTCCAGTGCCTTGAATGCACGTCTCAGCGTTCACACACTCCGCTCTCTTTGTCACAGTACTGCGACTGCCTTGCCTCAGCTTGAAATCATGGCAGACTTCTCTGGCCAGCTCCTTCTTGCCAGGTTATCCTACTGTCAGTTCCCATAGTGCTATGTATTTCTTATATCCTAGCTAGCACTTTCCTCATGCTATTGTCAGTGCTCAGTAAATTTTCAGTATTCCCAGCCAGTAGTAGTTCTATAAGGGAAGGGACTATTTTTGTTATTTTAATCTATGTAAGGTTCTATTTCTAACACTTCAGTTGAAAAATGAGTAAAGTTTCAAATGGCAAATCAGGAAGATAATTAGGGTCTTAAAAGCTCCAGCCCAAAATGATGACTATGATGATCAGGAAGATGATTGTGATGACTCGTAATACTAATGGATGGCATTGTTGAGTGCTCACGCCGTGCTGGGCCTTATGCTAAGTCATTTACAGTAATTATGTATCATTTAGTTCTCATGGCGACCCTGTATTTTTTAATGTATTAATAATTACAATTTATAGTCAGATGTTTGAGTCTAGGTTCACACTTTAAAACGTTAGTGACAGAAATACAAAAACTACCTAATCTATCATTTCAATAAACGTGTTGAAGATGTGTTATGTTAAATTTAGCACATTTGACAGTGGTATGTGCTGATTTTTATGGATTTCTTTTCATTATAATAGGAACCTATGGCCTTAACTACTAATTGTGGCAAATTATATTAGTTTCCCAATTATGGCAGTGATAGTAAATTTTCTTCTTAAAAATATTTATTTAAAAAAGGTAGGGTCCGTGGGGCATCTGGGTGACTCAGTCGGGTAAGCATCCGCCTTAGGCTCAGGTCATGATCCCAGGGTCCCGGGATCAAGTCCCACATCGGGCTCCTTGCTCAGTGGGGAGTCTGCTTCTCCATCTCCCTCTGCTCCTCTCCCTGCTCATTCTCTCTCTCTCTCAAATAAATAAAATCTTAAAAAAAATAAAAAAGTAGGGTCCATTAAAAAAACATTAAATAAACAGCATTGTTGATTGTATATCAATTTATAGAAAATGATGTAGGGGCTCTGTGAATAACTCCACTTTAAGATACAAAGCCTTTGAGCATTAAGAAATTGGTGGAGGAGGGTGAGGGGGATGGGGGGATGGGGGATGGGTGACTGGGTGTTGGGCCTTAAGGAGGGCACATGATGTAATGAGCAGTGGGTGTTATATGCAACTGATGAATCACTGATCTCTACCTCTGAAACTAGTAACACACTATGTTAATTAATTGATTATAAACAAAAAAAGAAATGCCCAATACCTTGAATTTATTAGGACCTCATACCAGTAACTAACATTTTCCAGTGGTAGTAGCCCAAAACTAAAGGTCAGAGATAATAAGCCTTTCAGATCTAAAAATCTAAGGCCCCCTTGAGTATTGAGTCCCAGTTGAGTTGACTTTCAGAAGACTGTGGATGTGCAAAGCACTATTTTAATCCGAGGTTTACAACTCTGAGAAGTAATAGGGATAAGAGGCAACAGTGGATGTTTAATTTTTGTTTTAAATGGAGGTGTTCTCAACGTGTTTGCAAGGCAGAAAGAAGTAAGCCTGCAGAAAGGGGAGACTGAATATGCTTGAGGAAGGAGAATTGATGAAGCAAGGTCCCAAGGGAAGAGGTAGAGATGGGTTCAAGATGATTGATAGAGGAAATGAGGGTGTCTGGGGAGTAAGAGGATTGATTGAGGAGATAAATTGGTACAAAATGAAGCCAGATGTTTAAAAAACAAATGTTATCCACCTTACACTTTTATGTAGGCTTTTTCCTGTTAAAATGCCTTGATCAGAAACTGGAGGTCGGCTCTTCCAGTAATCACTATCGTTGGTACTCACATACTGCCTTCCTCCCACGTGTAGCAATTTGTGTTCTCTTACGAGAGTCCCCAGAAAGAAAAGCAGGCCTACATTATACTAGATTCCACACAGTATCAGGCTCATTAATGTATTTATTGGGTGAGCATACGAGGACAGGTTATAAGCTGATATAAATGTAAAAGAAAGCTAACAGTTTTTTTTTTTTCCCCCTTAATTCTTTACACTGGACCTCAATTTTTCAGCTGCTGTTGCTATAAAGTAGCTAGGAGAAATATTTAAAAGTCAGATGTATAAAAGATACACTAACATTTTAAATATTCTAACTTTGTCTCTTTCTAACTATTTTCCCAAGGTTTTAAAGGAATGTGGAAACATTTTTATTTCTGCTGGGAATTTTTTTTTTCTTTTTTTTTCTTTTTTTACCAGAAGCCCAAAGTCTGAATTAATAACTTCCTAAATGCCTTGGTGGCAAAAACCACATGTAAAGGGTGAGAGCTAGAAAAGGAGTTGCAAGCACATTTGTTTGTGAGTTGCGGTTTGTGATCGTAAAAGCACTTTCCTGATCCCAAGTTTTATTTCACTACTTTGAATGGTCTCCAAGGGAAGGACTGAGTAAAATATATTTATGACAATAACTTGTCTCTTTCAACTGGATTTTATGTGATTAAATAATCCAAACTGGTGACTTTAAATGATAAACTTTTATTCTGAATATACTGTTTTTGCACAAGATTTAACACAACATTTTCTGGGATTATAAATATTTTTATAACAGTATTATACAAATTTTTACAAAACTTTATCAGGCTAGTTGATTTCCACAAAAGTGTCAAGAGAACATAATAAAGGGGAGAAAAGATCTTTTGTTCACAAAGCCAATGGGCCTTTTGCATGGATGCACACTGAGCATTTCAATAAAAGTATCCCTCAAAAGCATGATCCAACAATCATACGGCACAACAAAAAAGACAGCTTTGTCAGGTCACACTGTAAACTCAACTGGCATCTATACAAGACAGTATCCCATTAGTCTCAGTGGAATTTCTCTGAGTTAATTACATGAACTAGAAATAAGGTAGAGGAAACTCTTGCTAAGGGTTGTCTGAGTCTTTGAAATTCTGGAATTTATTCAACACTTGATACGTCTTATATTGATTTGCTCTTTACAGAAATATACATGGAATATTAGCAATATTAACATTCTGCTAATGGGAAAACAACACAAGTTCTACATAGGGATAAAATAGTTCAAGTTGGGGGCAAGTGAAATCATCATTCTATTCTACACTTGAAAAAATCACAGCGCTCACTTTGTTTCACAAGGTCAAACTGTCTACCTCTAGATATTTTAATGTTAACTAACGATTAATGGAATAGTTCAGAGTTTTAAATGAAGACACAGAATTTATGCTTTGGTGGGGAGAAAGATTTAAATGAGACATAAATAGAAGAGAGCATCAAATAAGCAAGTAACACTTGGGTTGCAAAGGTCACTTAAAAGGGATACTGCCTATTTGAACCCAGTAAGGCCAGTTTTAAAGTTACTAAAAGGAATATTCCAGGAAAACTTACAAATGGCAGCAACACTGTTTTGTTTTGTGTTCTTTTTTCCCCCCAAGTATAGCAATAACGCCTCAAGCATTAGAAACATGAAAAAAGATCATACTAAAATCTTAAAGGCCCAGGACCTAAAAATCTCTTCAATCAAACTTGCTAACTATGTCATGTTAAAAACCTGTTACAAATATGGACCACGATTGGTGTTTGGCACGATTGGTGGTTCAAAGGAAGAGAATCTAAAGAAACCATTAATGTAAAAGTCATTCCTGTTCCTCAACACCAGTGTAAGACTTACTTTGATTTTGTTTTGCTGACAAACTACGTTAAACTGGATGAGTAGAGCCAAAATGAAAGAAGCCGAAGAGATTAAAAGCTTTTTCCTCTCGATCGTTTAGTCTTTGAAAATCAATATTCATAACAGGTCTTGTCAAGAATGAGAACTCACAGAAAAATCCTAAATTAAATATAACAATTTGATGGGATGAGGGTTACTGTCTTTGAAAAAATGCTAAGAGTATGAAGACTAGTATTAGGCATGAGAACAATTTTTAGTCAGAAAGCACGTTCTTACCCAATTTATTACCAAGTACATGGTTCTCATAGTAGAAGTTTATTTTATAACAGAAAATCAAGGATCATAGCAAGACTCGTGCATGTTAATATATTTTGATGGCAAATGGAATCAACAGGACCCTGCCAAGAGACGCCAAGTTTAACTGTGATAATGCAACAGTAACGTAGTTGATGAAGACATACTATTTCAGTGACATTAGCCACGAAAATATATTTAATAGATTTTAAAGATAATTTTAAGGTAGTTTGTTGTATGCTGGAAGCAATTCAGTTGTTGTAATGTGCATCATATATACACACGAACTAACATAATTTTATATTTTGATATCCCCTTCCCAACACTTTCATGATTTAAAATAGTCTAGCAAAAGGTAACAGTAAGGTTTAAATATGTAATCAACAAACAACATGATTTAAACATAGTGTCACTAGAGTGAGAAGTTCCGTGTATGTGTGTGTGTGTGTGTATATATATATATATATATATATTTTTTTTTTTTAATCACTTTGGTGTTTTCTAAAATGTCAATACCAGGTACAAATGAGACTACAAAATCACAACGATGCGTTAGAAATGGTAACTGATGTCAACCCTTAGCACAATAGCTGGCAAAATGATTCCACTCCCACCCACCCCTGGTTTTAAATAAAAAATAGTTTAAATAAGGAAATATACACAAATGGTTCCTAGGGCATATGGGTGGTGGGAGGGAGTTACAAATGTGTGCAAAGCTGAAAACAAAACTAACATCTTTTAAACTACGCCAAAGACGTGGTTACGTCTTTGATACGCGGAGCGTAATAAAGCATGCTGGATAATGTTAGTAAGATATTGACTTAAAAAGGATGTATAAGAAAATGTCCAGCATATACACACACCAATATTTGGCATGTTCAAAATAACAAAGGCATTTCGCCATAAAAAATATCTGTATACTTCCAGCCTTCGGCAGAATTACTCACTTGAACTAGAATTACACATCCACAGTTTTTACCCTTTCTTCAAACACTGTTGACTCCTGCAAATTATTTTTAAAAGCATAAATAATAATCTAGCATATCAGTCTATAATGAAATATCCCATTCACTACACTAATCATTTTCACCAATGAGGCTGTATAAAAACAATTTTGATTATTCACAATCAAGTGTTCATGTGCATACATACAGATTCAAGGTTTCCTATTTGTTCAGATATTATAAAACCCTCATCAAACTGCACGGAAATTTTGGTCAAATGATCATATACCCTTTACAACGGAGGGAGAAAAGCAGCAGCGGCAGAAACGTCTGGAGTGTATGTGCTGCTATGCAAACGAACAAAGAGGAAACCTAGTGTGAATCTTCATCGAGAACGTATATGGACTCTTCAAAAAATAAATGTGTCAAATCTGATTTATGTACTTAAAATATCTGTACATAGGTTTTCAGGCAAAAGCACGAGTCTGTATAAAATCCGTTAGCCCATTTCACCATTTACCTACGCCAGTCATTCGGCATTGACGTTGCACAGTATATTCAGAGTAATTTAATGACATTTTTAAGGATGACTTAAGTGCATTACACTGCAAGGTTCAGAGTCTTACATAACACTAACGTCACTCGGTTAACTTTTCAAAGGACTATACAGTAAGAGAAAAACAAACCGAAAGGTAAAATAGTGGCAGCATCATGCAAAATACCCTTGGTAACCAAAGTTCATTTATCACAAGAAAAAACATTTTCCCCTCCCCCCACCCCCACAAGCTTCTCTCAGAGCATTTTGAAATATCTGGCTAGCACTACATAACTTTACTGCGAACAAAAAGAAACATTACATCGAAGCACTGATTCAGGGCTTACATTTATGAGGAAACATGTCACATGTTCAAATTGCATCTTCAAGCACCTTTAGTTTAATAGTTTCTTAGTTATTTTTTCAAACACGGATTCATTACCCCAGCAAAACTTAATTGGTCGTCATTTGTGTTCCTATTTTGGCAGAGAAGCCATTCTTCGTAAGGCATTTTATTTATGGCAGATTTCTTTCCATAGAAAGTTAGCCATTATTTCTATTTGAACAGATTACATCAATCTCTCTCTTTCTATTTCGTTTTTCAATAACTACTCAAAGCAGGAAATAATTTTTAACAGAAGAATACGTGAGGGCAAAAATAACTCCTTTTTTTTTTTTCCTTTAGAGATTTTCTTGGTAAAAGAACAAGATTTGCAGTAAGTCAAAATTCCAGGTCAAGGTCAAGACAATTTGTATGATTCATAAACAGTGTGGGGAGCCCTTTTACATATAATCACCAACAACGCAAACAACAAACTCTCCAATTTTCCAATAGAGCATGTATAGAATTTTGCTTTGACGTTAGACATAGATGATGCAGCATTCACACAAGTTTAAGGATCTGAGACCCTGACATGCAGCCAGTGGGGGCCATATGCGTCTGTGCCTTAGATTTAGCCATGGTATGGGCCCAGCTAGTGTTCTGCTCATTCCACAGTTGACCCTATCTTAACGCAACTGAGGCCTCGTGTTTTGGCAGGGTCTGGACTTTAATTACGCAGATTGAGTTTTAGAAGGTCATAATTGGCAGTGTCTGCTGCCAGATAAAAGCCAAAGTAGTAGAAACTGGACTCCGATGATGGACCACAGGGAGGGGTTCAATCCAGAAACACCACCACAGTCAGTATAATCCTCCTGTTGGAAAGAAAAGGAGAAAGAAAAATCCTGAAGAAATACTTAGTAAGGCATCTATCAGAGCACCCGTGTTTAGTCCACTTCTGAACTCACCTGATAAAATGGTTTTAATTTGAATCCAAATAAATTACATTACCCTAGATTTTATAGTTCAGCAATTTTGAATAAAGCGATTTCCCTAGTACCATTTCAAGAATGCTTTAAATTTTGAATTGCAGATTCTGATGGTTAAGAAAGAAAATACTTGAATAATAAATGCTGTTTTGACTAATATACCAGTTGGATAAAAAAAAAAAAAAAACTTTCACAGTATCAGATATTCCTACACATTTATAGGAATAAGGAGTAAATGTAAAATTGACAGTAGGTTTTATAATTCTCAAGAATTATGCTCAATAAGGCAAAGTTTGGGACTGGTAAAATCAATGTGAGGAATGATCTTCTCTCTCTTCCATATCCTTTATGTCTAGTTTCAAAGGTGAACACACCACGCTGCCCATGTAGCATCCAGACCTTCACCAAAAGTAAAATAAAGAATAATGTATTTGAATCATACATGAAAAGTCACTCTAATAACATATTCAAAATAAAGAGCTAAGATAGTAAGAGACATTTGTTTGACTTACAGAACTATGAAATATAAGCAACTGATACACCTATTTGGACCCCCCGTTGTCTCATAGTAGCTCATTAAGTTCCTTTAAATGCAAAATTATCCTTTAACATTTTCTACATCCTTTGATTTCTTTTAGTTACTGAATTTCATTAAAGATGTTTAGGAAAATAAGTAGATGTAGCTATGAGGCTTTTAAAAAAATTCACTACGCCAAGGTTCATCATCCAGTAATCCAAATAATAGGTTATGTAAGTAAATGAAATGTTCAGGATGATTTTCCAAAGCCTCTGAGCTCGCAGAGAAGAGAACGTTGGCTTGTTTTCCTCACAAGGGTGTAATACAGTGCCTGCCACCCAGTAAATAAATAAAATTTCTTTCTTGAGCTGCGTTTTTGAGGCAGGACACTTCTGTTTGTTAAAGAGAAGTCTGAAAGAAACAAAAGAATCTATTAAGAAAAAGTTTTTTTCAAAAGCTAGCTCCTAAATCTAAAGAGTAGCATGAAATGATGATCCATTCTTGGTCCTCATCTCATTTTACTTTTCAGGAGCATTTGGTAATGTACAACATTCTCCCCTTAACATGTCTTCCCATGTATATTTGCCCAACACATCTGGTTTCCTCCAAACTTGTTTTGGGTTCATCTTACTCTCTTTAGCTCAACCTGCTTCTCTTCTTGCTCTCTACATGATAGACTTCCAGAAATTACTTCTCTCTTTTTATTTATACTTTCTTCCCAGGTAATCTAATCTAGTCCTATAGCTTTAAATTCCATTAATTTGTTAATAACTCATAATTTTGTCCTTTTTAATATAAAATGATTTTTCCTTGTGTTTTTTCATTTTGCTTTAAAAATTTTAACTTTCAGTTTTAATAGACAAAACTGTAAGATATTTAAGGTATATATTTAGGTGATTGGTAGACATTGTGAAAGGTTACCCCACCCAAGATAATTAACATGTCCATTATCCACATATTTATCATTTTCCCCCCATTGGTGAGGATATTTAAGTTTTACTCTCTTGGCAGATTTCAATTCTACAGAATAATCAAATATAATCACATTTTATTAGATCCCCAGACTACTCATAGCCGAAAGTTTGTATCCTTTTGCCAATCTCTCCCTACCTCCCCCCTAGCTACTGACAACTCCTTTTCTGCTCTTGGTTTCTATGAGTTTGATTTTTTTTTTTTTTTTAATAGAAGCCACATATAAGTGATGTCATGCACTATTTGTCTTCGTCTTGCTTGTTTCATGTAGCATAATGCCCTCAAGGTCCAACACTGTTGTCAAAAATGGCTGGGTGTCCTTCTATCTATCTACATACCACTTCTTCTTTATCCATTCCTCTGTTGATGGACACAGGTTGTTTCTGTATCTTGGCTATTGAAAAAAATGCTGCAATGAACATAGGGGTGCATATATCTTTTCTAATGTTTTCATTTTCTTCAAATGAATACCTATAATTGCCAATTCATACAGTAGTTGTATTTTTAATTTTTGAGGAACCCCCATACCAGTTTTTCATAGTGGTTGTACCGATTAACATTCCCACCATTAACACACAGGATTCCCTTTCTCCCCATCCTTGCCAGCAATGGTTATCTCTTGTCTTTTTGATGATAGCTATTCTAGAAGGTGTGAAGTGATAATCTCCTTTAAGTTTTGATGTGCATGTCTCTACTAAGTGATGTTGAACCTCCTTCATGTACAGACATACCTTGGATATACTGCAGGTTCAGTTCCAGTTGCAGATATTCAATAAAGGGAATATTTCAATAAAGCAAGTCAGAATAATGTTTTGGTTTCCCAGTGCATATAAAAGTTATGTTTATATCATACTGTTGTCTCTTAAGTGTATAATAGCATTATGTCTAAAGTATATACTTTAATTTAAAAAATACTTTAGTGATAAATGCTAACCATCTGGGTTTTCAGTGAGTCTTTTTTTTTTTTTTTCTTTGAGGGTCTTGCCTCGATTGTTGATGGCTGCTGACTGGTCAGAGTGGTGGTTGCTGAAGATAGGGTGGCCGTGGCCATTTCTTAAAGTAAGACAACAAAGAGTTTGCTACATTGACTGACTCTTTCACAATAATCTCTCTGTCAATCCTCTCAAACCCTGTCACTGCTCGATCGACTAAGTTTATGTAATACCCTAACTCCTCTGTTGTCATTTCAACAATATCTGCAGCTTTTTCACCAGGAGTAGATTCTATCTCCAGAAACCACTTTCTTTGCTCTTCCAGAAGAAGCAACTCTTCATCCATTCAAGTTTTATTGTGAGATTGCAGAGAGTCAGTCACATCTTCAGGCTCCACTTGTTAATTCTAGTTCTCCTGCCATTTCCACCCCATCTGCAGTTACTTCCTCTACTGCAGTTTTGAACCCCTCACAGTCATTCATGACGGTTGGAATCAACCAGGTGTATTCTCAATAAGCAGTCACATTTTGAAAGGAATTTCTCCCCCGCCTCAGTAGTAGGTCTCAACAGTGGGCTTCCAATGTTCACTAAACCATGTTGTAATGTGCTGTCATCCAAGCTTTGTTGTTCCATTGATACAGGACAGGCAGAGTAGACTGAAAATCCCTGGGACTTTCAGAATGGTCAATGAGCACTGACTTCAACTTAAAGTCACCAGCTCATGAGTCCCTAACAAGAGAGACAGTCTGTCCTTTGAAGATGGGTAGTGACTTCTCATCTCCAGCTATGGAAGAACTCTATAGATGACACCTTTTTCCAATGGAAGGCTGGTTCATCTACATTGAAAACCTGTTGCAACCCTCAGTTTGTTTCCTATAGTTAAGAGGTTGCTGGAGGGGAGGGGGGGGGGGGATGAGGTAACTGGGTGATGGGCATTAAGGAGGGCACGTGATGTAATGAGCACCGCTTATTATATGCAACCGATGAATCACTTAACTCTACCTCTGAAACTAGTAATACCCTATATGGTAATTAATGGAAATTAAAAAATTAAAAAAAGAAACCTGTAGCCTAGTGTACCCACTTTCCTGGCTTACCTCAGTAGATCTGGATAACTTGCTGCTTTACCTTATACTGTTATGTTCTGCAGCTGGCTGCTTTGCTTTAATCTCATGAACTAACCTCTGCTAGCTTCAAACTTTTCTTTTGCAGCTTCCTCACCTCTCTCAGCTTTCATAGAAATGGAGAGAATTAGGGCCTTGCTGTGGATTAGGCTTTGGCTTAGGCAATGTTGTGGCTGGTTTGATCTCCTATCCAGACCACTGAAACTTTCTCCATGTCAGCTATAAGGCTGTTTGACTTTCTTATCATTTGTGTATTCACTGGAATAGCACTTTTAATTTCCTTCAAGAACTTCCCCTTTGCATTCACACCTTGACCAAATGTTTGGTGCAAGGGGCCTAGCTTTCAGCCTATGTTGGCCTTTGAAATGCCTTCCTCACTAAGCTTAATCATGTCTACCTTTTGATTTAAGGTGAGAGACATGTGAGTCTGCCTTTCACTTGAACACTCAGAGGCCATTGCAGGGTTATTAAATGGCCTAATTTCAATTATCATTTCATCTCAGGGAATAGGAAGGCCCCAGGAGAGAAAAAGGGATGGGGAAATGGCTGGTCTGTAGAGCATTCAGAACACACAAAGTAAGTTTGTCGTCTTAGATGGGTGTGGTTTATGGTGCCCCAAAGCACTTACAATGGTAATATCAAAGATCACAGATCACCTCAACAAATATAATTATAGTGAAAAAGTGTGAAGTATTGTGCAAACTACCAAAATGTGACAGAAAGACAAAAGTGAGCAAATGCTGTTGGAAAAAATGACATAATGCAGGGTTGCCACAAACCTTCAATTTGAAAAAAATAAAAAAACTGCAGTATCTGTAAAGTGCAATAAAGCAAAGTATGGTAAAACAAGGCATGCCTCTACCTGTTGGCCACCTAGATGGCTTTGGGAAAATTCTATTCAGCTCCTCTGTCCATTCATTAATCAGATTTCTTTTGATACTGAGTTGTAGGATTTCTCTGTATATTTGGGATACTGGCCCCTTATCACAACATGAATTGCAAATAATTCCTCCCATTTCAGGGACTGCCTTTCAATTGGTCTCCCTTGCTGTCAGAAGCTTTTAACTTTGATGGAGTCCCATGTTTATTTTTGCCTTTGGTGTAAAAGTAGAAAAAAAAAAAATCATTGCCAAAACTAATGTCAACGAGTTTACTTCCTAGGTTTTCTTCTGGGAGTTTTACTGTTTCAGGTCTTAAGCTCAAGTAGTTAACACATTTTCAGTTGGTTTTTGTGTATGGTGTAAGATAGTGGTCCAGTTTTATTCTCTTGGGTTTTGCGGTTTCACACATATTTTAGAATTCTTTGTTGTATTTCAGTAAAAAATGTCACAGAAATTTTGA